TCATTGGTTAGCTAAAGGAAATCATCAGAAGCAAGCAGGTGTTCAAACTGCAAACGTGAATTGTCTATGCCATGCTACGATGTCGGATTCAGAAAAAGATGTCGAAATGTCTGAAAGGTCGGACACAGGCGAGAGCGTGTCGGGAGATGGAGACAAACAAGACCTCCCTCATCCTTGGCCCTATCTCAAAGAATTTTTAGAAATAGTCGAAAAATTGAGCTTTCGCTTCATATAGTGGCATCTGGCTGTTTTTTTTAAAGGTTACTTTATACTTTTGTACTTTCAGTAGTTTTTGGAGCACATACTTTTTCACTTTTACTTGAATAAAGAGGTGAAGTTGGTACTTTAAGTTTTACTAGTGTGTTTTTAAAACAAACTTCTACTTGAGTAACAAGTGTGTGCACTTTTGACACCACTGGTTACTGAGAATCCAGGCAGATTCATGGTAGTAAGCTGAGATCTTTATCTGTCAATCTCTACGTTTATCTTCCCCAGGAGCTCCTTTTCCTGTTTTATTTTTTTTCGTTTGTTTATATATATATAAACAAACTTCTAGATAAGGATGCCTGTAAAAAAAATAAAAATAAATTCTCTCTATCCCACCTGTTTAATGAGCACCAGAGGAGCTGATGTTATCATTACTGTGTGATTTCATGCTTGTTGACTCTTAAGGAACATTAGTCCTGAGCACCAGTCTAAGGAATGCCTTCTAGATTTAAGCCTGGATGGAATGATGTGGTATTCTTTGGAAAAGGGTGGATTCTGAGTAAAAACAGCTATGTTTTATTAAAAAGTAATTTATAAATCGAAAGGCATTTTTTAAAAGGCTACTAAATGGAAAGTTATGTCTCAATTCTAATAAAATGAACGTACTGTAACAGCCTGCAGGGTTATGTATACTGACATATCCAGCAAGGAAGAAACAGAAGCTGTGTTTCTATTACAAAAAAGACAAAACTGTCAATATCATAACAAATACAATTAAAATGTCTCATAAAGACATTTGTATACATCATAACTCTGATAAAATTAACATAACAGCTATGAGATATAGCTATATTTCAGCCAAAACTCCAACTACTTCTGGTCGTCATCTTCATCTTTGCAAGGCAGAAAGGGGCGTGGTTGCAGATCATGTGATGCGGGAAAGGGATTCGCTTTGCAGTTTTGCAAAATAGACGAATTATGAGATGACTGAAAAACTACCTTACTGAAGCGTGAAGTTTTAATCTAAAATGTGAGCCTTTTCAAAATCGCAGTGTTAATTTATTTTCGTAATTAGAATTTGCGTAAGTTGAATCTTAATGGAAACGCAGTTAGAACCGTCTTCCTCATACCTTTCTGCTTTGTCTTCTAGAGGTCTTTAGGTAACAGAGATGCTTTCCAGCTTTTTTATATATATTGTTTATCTGTCAGTCCCAAGATGAAATAACTTGCATTAAATTAGACATTGAGATTATTTATACTCTGCCGACTATTGAGGAATGTGAAGTTTTCTGTCTGTAATTACAAATGTTTCCACAAGAATGACAACTCGGCCCCTTGTAGTTTATTTTCTGCATGTTGAAATGATGAAAACCTCTTTAAACATCTATTTAAAGAGAACACATATGAGATGATTAGAGGCAGGTGAGAGTGGAGGATGTTTTAAATACAACCTCAGTCAATGTTTAATGATTTTAGATCTGTTTTATTAATTAAAAAATGATATCGGTTTATGTTGGCTTTTTTATTAGCTTTTATGTTACGTTTTTGCTTTAAGAAATTTTAACCGTTAGACTGAGTCTAACTCTTCATTGGTTTAAAAACCTAAACAATTTATTGCAATACCACAATCCTTAAGCATGGCTGAAATGATGGATTGGATGGTTTGGTTGGAAACCATATTTCAAGTGCAAATCCTTTAGACTCTGCATGGTTGGATGGTTTCCGCTCTGCCTTTGATGACCACAAACACATTTCAGTCACTGAGAGGCTAAAACTCAAGAAAATATTAAGGAATTCACAAATATTAATTAAGATGTGAGTTAAACATGATTGTTTTCATTTTTTTTTTAAATAAAAGTATTGTTATATTTATGGAGCCCAAATTGAATATTTGTTGGTTTTCAGTTTGCTGCCTAATGATGATACTACAGCCACCGTGTTTCACAGCTCTAAATACTTTCTAATGAAAACATTTTATGTGTTGCATTCCATCTTTGTTCATTTTTTTTTCCTACATTTCATGCATAAATTTTTTTCCTATTCTATCTACCTTTAATAATTTTTTCCAGTATGTATATTTAGTTATTTGTGTGTTGTTTTCAGACGTTGGCTCTTTGAAAGTTAACCTGTTTGGCTTTGATCTAGATTGTAAATCTTATTTCGGTGTGTCAGGACTTTAATAATGTTTTTGAGTAAAAAAAAAAAGGTATTAATAGTTTTCCCTCATAAATCCATCTACTACACCATTGCTGTTCTCCTAATATTGGACTGGAATTAGTTCTCTTTACAGAAAACCTACTCTTGGTTCAGTGTTGATCTAGTTGGACTGATCTTTACCAACAAACATTTTCCAGTTGGGTTAATCCTTTATAGGGCGCTCAGTGAAATGCTTAAATTAAAATTTCCAGCGAATAGTGTTATTGGAATCCTGGACCAGATCTTATTACCTTTGTTACATTCAAAAAATATGGATGTTTGATGGCAAAAATGTCAACGCAGTAACAGGAAACCCCAACTTGCCCCAATATATTAAGAAAAATAAAAGTTCTTCTATAAGAAATTCATGAAAAACACTGAGAGTGAAAGAAACAAATTTTTTTTATCCAACATAACCTTAGAGGCATTAATGCTGATACTGACACTTATACTTTTTGTTTGTATACCACACTAAAACCACCCCCCATGGACATGGACAATACACGCACCTTAGTTTAGTTTTGTCTTCAATTTAATGTTTCGTTTAGCAATATTTATTTATGTTTCTTCTTGCAACAACTCAGTGCAATATATATATATATATATATATATATATATATATATATATATATATATATATATATATATATATATATATATATATATACACACACTCACCGGCCACTTTATTAGGTACACCTGTCCAACTGCTCGTTAACACTTAATTTCTAAGCAGCCAAACACATGGCGGCAACTCAGTGCATTTAGGCATGTAGACATGGTCAAGACAATCTCCTGCAGTTCAAACCTAGCATCAGTATGGGGAAGAAAGGTGATTTGAGTGACTTTGAACGTGGCATGATTGTTGGTGCCAGAAGGGCTGGTCTGAGTATTTCAGAAACTGCTGATCTACTGGGATTTTCACGCACAACCATCTCTAGGGTTTACAGAGAATGGTCCGAAAAAGAAAAAACATCCAGTGAGCGGCAGTTCTGTGGGCGGAAATGCCTTGTTGATGCCAGAGGTCAGAGGAGAATGGCCAGACTGGTTCGAGCTGATAGAAGGGCAACAGGGACTCAAATAACCACCCGTTACAACCAAGGTGGGCAGAAGAGCATCTCTGAACGCACAGTATGTCGAACTTTGAGGCAGATGGGCTACAGCAGCAGAAGACCACACCGGGTGCCACTCCTTTCAGCTAAGAACAGGAAACTGAGGCTACAATTTGCACAAGCTCATCGAAATTGGACAATAGAAGATTGGAAAAACGTTGCCTGGTCTGATGAGTCTCGATTTCTGCTGCGACATTCGGATGGTAGGGTCAGAATTTGGCGTCTACAACATGAAAGCATGGATCCATCCTGCCTTGTATCAACGGTTCAGGCTGGTGGTGGTGGTGTCATGGTGTGGGGAATATTTTCTTGGCACTCTTTGGGTCCCTTGGTACCAATTGAGCATCGTTGCAACGCCACAGCCTACCTGAGTATTGTTGCTGACCATGTCCATCCCTTTATGACCACAATGTACCCAACTTCTGATGGCTACTTTCAGCAGGATAATGCGCCATGTCATAAAGCTGGAATCATCTCAGACTGGTTTCTTGAACATGACAATGAGTTCACTGTACTCAAATGGCCTCCACAGTCACCAGATCTCAATCCAATAGAGCATCTTTGGGATGTGGTGGAACGGGAGATTCGCATCATGGATGATCAGCCGACAAATCTGCGGCAACTGTGTGATGCCATTATGTCAATATAGACCAAACTCCCTGAGGAATGCTTCCAGCACCTTGTTGAATCTATGCCACGAAGAATTGAGGCAGTTCTGAAGGCAAAAGGGGGTCCAACCCGTTACTAGCATGGGGTACCTGATAAAGTGGCCGGTGAGTGTATATATATACTTCTTTACCCTGTATATAGCTAGCTCTTAGTTATAGAAAACATATTATGCAGGAATAAGGTCTTAGCTCTGTTACACCGGTACCCAAGTAATCGACATTTCGTTGTCAAGATTCACCTCTGTATTTTTTTGTGCAATGACAATAAAGGAAGTCTAAGTTTAAGTCTAAATATAATTGCTAACCTGGCTTATTAACTTTTTAACTTTACAATTTAACTTTTCAATTAGCTTTTTACTTTTTTTTTTCTTTAATTGTTAACTTTTGTTTTTCAACTTAATTACCATTAGGTAATATTTCATTCAAAGGCTCATCTAATTGGTCAGATGCCAAAATAAGATGTTCAGCCATGTAGCAGCATCTTTGCTGAATGGCTGGAAAAATGGTAACTTGCCCCATAAAGGGTTAAGGATCCCTCTGACCAAAGTCTTCTTTCAGGTTTTCTTTTTAATGCTTTACTTGTGGAGCTGCGGGGAAATCTCTCCTGGTTTGTGATTCTCCTAATTGAAGACTGCCTGTGTTGTAATTTTTTCACTCTGGGATGTTTCCAATCTAAATATGTCTTATCTGCCTCAGATAGCACTGAAGTTATTTAATAATTTTTGCCTTAGTGCTCCTAATTAATGAAAACGAATCCCCCCTTATAAAACTTATACCATATCTGAGTTTAAAGATAAATGGAGAAGTGTTGGCTTACCTCTGTGCCCCTGTCTGGACTCTGATAATAGTTCATGTAGTCTTGTCCTGAGCACAAATAGCTGAAGTTAAGCATCCATAAGAGCACAGCTGGTATCCACATAGTGAGGGGATGGAGAGGGGGAGAGGGAGGAAGTTGGTGAACTTAACGTGAAGACAGGAAGGTGAAGGAGTCTGAGGTGGAGAGGAGGGAGAGGAACAGGAATGTTATGACAGATTAGGCTCCTCTTCTCCTTCTATCCTGGGACAAAGTTGCTTCTCCCGTGCAGCTCGTTGGATTTGTGGAAAACACCTGAATAAATCATGGTGAAGAAACCTTCTCCTCTTACTTCAGTCAAGCACAGCTCGGAGGTGGTCTCCGCTCAGACCCGGCTTCTCCTCTCGCCGTGCTGCTTCTCCATTGCTGCTGTTATGACGACAGGTGTCCCTCTGGATTTTGTCTTCACTTTGTATTTATATCTACGGCGGCCTTCAACTTGAATGGTCCCTTTCTCCTCGGCCTCCGATTGTCCTCGTCTGTCTCCTCTTGTCCTTGTTCACCTCGTTTTCTTTCTTTATCTGTCTGTTGCTCCTTCCCTTCACGCAGCAGCTGTGCAGATTATCGCTGCCCTTTTTTATCTGGCTCCTGTTTCTTCTTTCAAAGCCCTCAGGGCAAATCTCTTTCTCTCCCTCTTTTCTTTTTTTTTTAAAGCTGTCACAACTTCACGGCCAAGCTGTCTGATCTTTAGAAAAGTATTTAAGAAGAAAAGGAAATGGAAATCCTGTTCCTAGATTGAGTTGTTTTCAAATGAGTCCGTTTTTCCCCCCAAGTGTTGGGTTCTTGTCCAAACAGAGTGAAAGCGCGTCCTCCTCACAGGCGTCTCACTGGAGTGAATGAGGGGAAAATATACAAGAATGGAAGGCTTGTTTTTGGTGGGCGGGATGAGGGATCTGAGATGCATGGGATTTGTGCTCTTCAGCTGATTATACTGCCCCTTTTTTTATTTCCTCTGAAATTGCAGGTTATGAGGAAAAGCAAAGAAATCAGATTCACTGGAGCAGCCTTAAAAAAAAAACTCCCATAATTAGAAACTGTCATAATGTGTTAACTTTTGGCTTTAAATCAGACGCATCTTACCGTGTGGGAACTGAAGCCAGAAATTTAGCTCCCACACCTGCAGCTCAGACCATTTTCTCCCTACACTTCATCTAGCCCCATCTTTGTCCTCTTCCCTTCCCCCTCTCACGTTCCCCCTTATTCTTTCTTCTTGTGGTCCATTCAAAGTCCTAAAAGACTTACTTTGCATACCTTCTTAACTATTCCGCCCCAAGGCTTTGAGCATTTGTCTGTATATTACAGCCGAGGAGGAGGGGAGGAGAAGCTGAAGCCTACATCTTTATGTCTAAATGTAAAACAAAAAGACTGCAAGACAACCCAGTGACAGACAAATGCAAAATAAATCATACAGCCAGACAGAGATGGGTTAAATAAGAAAACAGGAAGAAATAAGAAAAAAGGCCAACAAGGAGGAGGTGTGTCTGGGAAACGCTCGAATGAGAAAACATCCGATTTTTGGGCCAGTCAAAGCCAGCCTTTTTTGACGCAAACACGCCACGCGTACACGCTTTCATGCACGCACACGGCGGCAAGTGTCTGCATGCAGCGTGCTCGCTTTATGTGTTGAGATCTGCATGGTAGAAATCCACATTCCACTCATTGCTCTCCCCATTTCATCATGCAGACTCAGAGATTGGAGATGAAAGGAAGGGAATTCATCATCCTATTCAAAGAAAAGAAACCGCTGCTGTAGAGGTTTACTTAATTTGAAAATAAATCTGGCTGAAAAATATTTACATACAGTGTTTGAAAAGATGAAACCCTATTTTTTTTTTTATCCTCACCGTCATTAAATCAGACTTGTTGGAGTGGATGAAACTGGAGCGCAGATCTGGTAAAGATTTAGACATGAAGCTTTCTGGTGAGCGAGACGACTTGGACCCAGAAGTTAGATCAGCTGGAAGCATATTGATCCAATGTTATAGAGATAAATGAGCGCTCCTGGAAACTCCAGAGCCTCCTCCAGGAGAGATGCCTTCATATTGATGAAGCTGGTTCTTCTGCCTGTCTGAGAAAAGGCAGCTTAGGAACCATGCAGGGAGAAAAAAAAGTTAGGCTCGGAACTTTTTCCACCACAACCTGATTAACACAGATAACTCAGTATGATTTTATATATATATATATATATATATTTATATATATATATATATATTCACTACCGTTCAAAAGTTTGGGGTCACATTGAAATGTCTATATTTTTGAAGGAAAAGCACTGTACTTTTCAATGAAGATAACTTAAACTAGTCTTAACTTTAAAGAAATACACTCTATAGATTGCTAATGTGGTAAATGACTATTCTAGCTGCAAATGTCTGGTTTTTGGTGCAATATCTACATAGGTGTATAGAGGCCCATTTCCAGCAACTATCACTCCAATGTTCTAATGGTACAATGTTTTCGCTCATTGGACCATTAGAACAATTTGATGATCAGAAAACCCTTGTGCAATCATGTTCACATGTCTAAAAACAGTTTAGCTCGTCAGTTTAGAAGCTACAAAACTGACCTTCCTTTGAGCAGATTGAGTTTCTGGAGCATCACATTTGTGGGGTCAATTAAACGCTCAAAATGGCCAGAAAAAGAGATCTTTCATCTCAAACTCAACAGTCTATTCTTGTTCTTAGAAATGAATGCTATTCCATGTTAGAAATTGCTAAGAAATTGAAGATTTCCTACTCCCTTCAGAGGACAGCACAAACAGGCTCTAACCAGAGTAGAAAAAGAAGTGGGAGGCCGCGTTTCACAACTGAGCAAGAAGATAAGTACATTAGAGTCTCTAGTTTGAGAAACAGATGCCTCACAGGTCCCCAACTGGCATCTTCATTATATAGTACCCGCAAAACAACAGTGTCAACATCTACAGTGAAGAGGCGGCTGCGGGATTCTGGGCTTCAGGGCAGAGTGGCAAAGAAAAAGTCATATCTGAGACTGGCCAATAAAAGAAAAAGATTAAGATGGGCAAAAGAACACAGATATTGGACAGAGGAAGACTGGAAAAAAGTGTTGTGGACGGATGAATCCAAGTTTGAGGTGTTTGGATCACAAACGTTTGTGAGACGCAGAACAAATGAAAAGATGCTGGAAGAATGCCTGACGCCATCTGTTAAGCGTGTTGGAGGTAATGTGATGGTCTGGGGTTGCTTTGGTGCTGGTAAGGTGGGAGATTTGTACTGGGTAAAAGGGATTCTGAATAAGGAAGGCTATCACTCCATTTTGCAACGCCATGCCATATCCAGTGAACAGCACTTGATTGGAACCAATTTCATCCTACAACAGGACAATGACCCTAAACACACCTCCAAATTGTGCAAGAACTATTTAGAGCAGAAGCAGGCAGCTAGAATTCTATCAGTAATGGAATGGCCAGTGCAGTCACCAGATCTGAACCACATTGAGCTGTTGTGGGAGCAGCTTGACCGTATGGCACGCAAGAAGTGCCCATCCAACCAATCCAACTTGTTGGAGCTGCTTCTGGAAGCGTGGGGTGCAATTTCTCCAGCTTACCTCAACAAATTAACAGCTAGAACGCCAAAGGTCTGCAATGCTGTAATTGCTGCAAATGGAGGATTCTTTGACAAAAGCAAAGTTTGATGTAAAAAAAAAATCTTATTTCAAATACAAATCATTATTTCTAACCTTGTAAATGTCTTGACTCCATTTTCTATTCATTTCACAAGGTATGGTGATGAATAAGTGTGACTTTTCAGGAAATATATATATATATATATATATATATATATATATATATATATATATATATATATATATATATATATATATATATATATATATATATATATATATATATATATATATATATATATATACAGGTAAAAGCCAGTAAATTAGAATATTTTGAAAAACTTAATTTATTTCAGTAATTGCATTCAAAAGGTGTAACTTGTACATTTAATTTATTCATTGCACACAGACTGATGCATTCAAATGTTTATTTCATTTAATTTTGATGATTTGAAGTGGCAACAAATGAAAATCCAAAATTCTGTGTGTCACAAAATTAGAATATTACTTATGGCTAATACAAAAAGGGGATTTTTAGAAATGTTGGCCAACTGAAAAGTATGAAAAGGAAAAATATGAGCATGTACAATACTCAATACTTGGTTGGAGCTCCTTATGCCTCAATTACTGCATGAATGCGGCGTGGCATGGAGTCGATGAGTTTCTGGCACTGCTCAGGTGTTATGAGAGCCCAGGTTGCTCTGATAGTGGCCTTCAACTCTTCTGCGTTTTTGGGTCTGGCATTCTGCATCTTCCTTTTCACAATACCCCACAGATTTTCTATGGGGCTAAGGTCAGGGGAGTTGGCTGGCCAATTTAGAACAGAAATACCATGGTCCGTAAACCAGGCACGGGTAGATTTTGCGCTGTGTGCAGGCGCCAAGTCCTGTTGGAACCTGAAATCTCCATCTCCATAGAGCAGGTCAGCAGCAGGAAGCATGAAGTGCTCTAAACCTTGCTGGTAGACGGCTGCGTTGACCCTGGATCTCAGGAAACAGAGTGGACCGACACCAGCAGATGACATGGCACCCCAAACCATCACTGATGGTGGAAACTTTACACTAGACTTCAGGCATCGTGGATCCTGTGCCTCTCCTGTCTTCCTCCAGACTCTGGGACTTCGATTTCCAAAGGAAATGCAAAATTTGTTTCCGTCAGAAAACATGACTTTGGACCACTCAGCAGCAGTCCAGCTCTTTTTTTCCTTAGCCCAGGTGAGACGCTTTTCGCGCTGTTTCTTGGTCAACAGTGGCTTGACACGAGGTATGCGGCAGTTGAAACCCATGTCTTTCAAGCGTCTCTTGGTGGTGGATCTTGAAGCACGGACTCCAGCAGCTGTCCACTCCTTGTGAATCTCCCCCACATTTTTGAATGGGTTTTTTTTCACAATCTTGACTGGGGCGCGGTGATCCCTATTGCTTGTACACTTTTTCTGACCACAGTTTTTCCTTCCCTTTGCCTCTGTATTAATGCGTTTGGACACAGAGCTCTGAGAACAGCCAGCCTCTTCAGCAATAACCTTTTGTGTCTTTCCCTCCTTGTGCAATGTGTCAATGGTCGCCTTTTGGACAGCTGTCAAATCTGAAGTCTTCCCCATGTTTGTGTAGGCTTCAGAACTGGACTGAGAGACCATTTAAAACCCTTTGCAGGTGTTTTGAGTTAATCAGCTGATTAGTTTGTGGCACCAGGTGTCTTCAAAATTTAACCGTTACACAATATTCTAATTTTGTGACACACAGAATTTTGAATTTTCATTTGTTGCCACTTCAAATCATCAAAATGAAATGAAATAAACATTTGAATGCATCAGTCTGTGTGCAATGAATAAATATAATGTACAAGTTACACATTTTGAATGCATTTACTGAAATAAATCAAGTTTTTCAAAATATTCTAATTTACTGGCTTTTACGTGTGTGTGTGTGTGTGTGTGTGTGTGTGTGTGTGTGTGTGTGTGTGTGTGTGTGTGTGTGTGTGTGTGTGTGTGTGTGTGTGTGTGTGTGTGTGTGTGTGTGTGTGTGTGTGTGTGTGTGTGTGTGTATGATATATATATATATATATATATATATATATATACATACACACCCCAGTCGGCCATCTGCCGAGGCCAACTAGGGTTCAAGGAGACAGAGGTGGACAAAGAAACTAAACAACATCATTTCCTCAGCAGCAGATATGTCTCCCTGTGTATCGAACAGTACGACCATTGTGCTCCTAAATGACGCCTCGGCTCCTTTGGGAAGCAGCAGTGGTTGCTTCTTATCTTGACCTGATGTGAAGGATGTTCTCCTGCATGTTCCACTGAGGTCATCTTGTTTTAGCCTCGGCTTAGAAGGCCTGCTATAACTATCCACGGCCTCAGAGCAGCTATGTATATATATTCAAAGCTGCAAAAAGCAAACTGGCAGATTTAACTTTTAACTTACCTTAACATAAAATTAAAATGAAACCATCCTGATTTTTCGTTGCATCTGTTCAACTCTTTCTCTGGACTTGACTTTGCTGTGGCTACAACATCTAGAGATGACAACATAAATCAGAAGCCAGGGTAGATTTGCTTTGGTAATACAATAACTGCTTTAAGATGCTGTTCTTT